AAACAAGTGTCGTTTTATTATCAGTAATGGCATTTGAGCTGTTTTGTTGATTTTTCCTTTATTTTCGCTTTTTTCCAACGCAACGACCTTTAAAATTGAACACCATAAGTTGTGTCGTTCTCATTGTAATAATAGAAGTTTATATTTCGATAATGTCACTTGTGTCATTCTCTTAGAACTTTTCATCACAGTAATAGCACAAATGTCGTTCTCAGGGAACATGCTAGTGGAAACAAGGAAAACATGCTGGTTCTAAAATATGGAGTATTGAATTTAATTAACCCATTTGCCTGTAACAACAATTGTTCCATTCTCATATATATTTATACAAGTCTAACAACAACATTTGTATTGTTTTAATGGAAGTTTATAATTCATGCAACAATGTCACTTGTGTCGTTCTCATGGACGCTTACAAGTCCAGAAACCTTATGCCTTTTTCTTGAGACATAACACAATAAAGATACATACCAGTATTTAAAAAAAGACAAACATATCCTATAGAAAAAATCCATCTCCTGGAAAAAAGTCATCCTATTGATATGCGCATTTTCAAATGTAGTCTACAACTTTTTAACATTCTCCAAAACATCAAAATCCTTAAATTCGAGTGAAAAATATATATACCTTGAAACAAAATAATTCTGAGGGATACTTTAAAACGCTAATCCTCAGATCTAGTTACACTAGAATCATATCTCCCACCACTATAATTACCATTATTTCAACCACTGCCACTGTACTAATATGTGCTTCTCCTACTTCAAGTATAAGAGTTATCACTTCTTAAATCACGACCATCAAATTGCCCACACCATGTTTACTTTTACCTCTATATGGAGCTCGACTTGTAAACCAAATCAGCCAATGGGTACCTCCTGATTGGCTTATCAAATCAGCTAGTGGCTTTATTGATAATGTGAGCAACTTAGGAAATATCAAGGCCACGAGCTGTCATATATGTCGCACCCAAAATTAACGTGTTTCCACTTTTAAACGATTTCAATACTAGTTCTCTTTCCTGGAGCAAAAGGTAAATCAAAAGTCAAATCAAGTAATAATCAATATAGCGCGTAATGATACAACGTTTACGCAACTAAAGAATAAAATGATTCAATAAAGTCAAGGGGATACACAACATTTTAAATTGCCAACTTATATACATTATTTAGTAGGTCAAGTTCCAATCTACAAATAAGGGAACTATAGTAAAAATAGGCAAAACATAATATGAAAAAATTCTGAAATCAACAAGTGTAAAGTTTAATAATGGAACTCACATGAAATAGGAACCACAGTAAAGGATGAACAATTTTACTAAAAATGCCGAATTACTTAAATCAAATTACTCATAATGCAACTCTCTAAGTTTCAAGGCATATCAAAGAACAAGCACATTTACATATCACAATTTCGGTTTATAGCAATGCTAATAAATGATTTTTTTTAACCCATCATCTTCAAAACCCCAAATGATCATAAATCCATCAACATTAAAAAAACTCAACTAAAACTAAACTAAATATACAAATAAATCATGAAATCATAAAAAAAAAAATGCAAATTTTACAATTTAGCAATAGAAATACAAAATCATATTTCAAAAAAAAAAAAAAAAGGAGAAAAATTTACCTCTTTGATTGTACTAGCTTGTACCAAAGAGAGGATAAAGCAATGTAAAATAAACTTGAATCAAAGAAATTTTTTTTTGTAATATTGAAATATCGTGAAAATGAAGGTAAAGAAGACTGGTTTGGAATTCAAATTTGGGTAATGGGGTTTCACAGTGAAAGTGAAGAAGAAAAAAGAAGGTGAAATGAAAAATGTTGGGTGAATAATTTGATATAAATTGAAGGACAACTTTGTCATTTTACCAATTAAAACATTTTAAATATTTTTATTCTATTTCAATGTTGGTCAAAAGCTATTTGTCCAAACTCATTCTCCAACTCGGTCATTTGGCCAAATTCCCCGTACATTTTCCCCCAAAATTTAATTTTAATAGAGCCCAAATTCTACTCCAATTAAAGTCAATCACATGCATTCAATAAAAAATTAGGGAGCAGATTAATGTTCCAAACAAAAATACAAATCATATACAGACCTAAAAGTAAAATCCACAGTTCGATGCCAAAAACATTCACTTCAATGCTAGTATTTCTTTGAGAGCCAACAAGATTATTAAGAGAGCCGGCTTTCCCCCTGCAACCCTCTGAAGACGCGGATCTGCAGCTTCAAGTATATCCTCAAAACCGCAAACAGCTTGCTCAACTCAACATAAATATGTACAACATATCTATTTAACGGCCGGAGCAATATCTCCGCTTCCTAATCCCATCTTCTTCCCAAGAACAGCAAGCTGCTCGATGAACTCTCCTCCCGTCAGTAATTCAGTGGTTCCATAAATGACATGCTTGACTGGCTGCTGACTGCGTGCAAGATCTTGCAAGCTCCCGTGCTCCACATAATTTCCACCACCGATCATAAACACGATAGCTTCTTTGAATGGTCCTTTCAGGTGGCTGCTACTTGAACCGGAGGTTGACTTTGGTGCGCGAGGATCAAAAACAAGAAAAGAATCAATTTCAGGATTCGGTTTGCCCTCCATTAGTGCATCAACTGTTCTTGTAAGAGCTAACTGATGATCACCAGACAACAAATTTTTCATACCAGCAGTTACAGCACTGATTGACTGCCCATACAATTTTTCAGCCCAATCGACAATATTGCTCCTGCTGGCAGAATTTGCTGACGCTAATGAGATATTTAATGACTTTATCTTCTTCACATACTGAAATGCACTAGTATCAACCTCCGACTCCCTCAGTGCAATTTCAACCGTTTCAACTTCTGAAGGAGAGAGGCTTTCGGTTGATATGAGATACATTACAGCAAACCGCAGTTTGTCCATTTTATCTCCTTTCCCCCTGAGCATGCTAAGAAGCTCATTCCTATCAATTCCACCTCTGATCATCATTTCACTTTCCATTTTGGCGTAAGAATCCAGAGACCTCTCCTTGATCTCACCCAACAATGCAGTAGCAATATTAGTGTGCTTATCAATCACTTGCTTCCGCTCAGTCAATTCAGGCAGAGAATTTACTGCACTCATCAGATGCTTTGTGTTGCCAATCAAATCTGTCCCATCGAACTCAGCCCCGGCATTTCCTCCGGTTCTCCTATTTACCTCCTCAACATCTTTCTTATACTTGTTTAATTGCGTCTCAATTTCCACAGCCACTTCTGGAAACTCCAACGACCCATTTGCCATCCAGAATGGGTCTGAATGATCCAATTCAAACGACTTCATCCCACCTTTCTCCCCTTTTACATTCAATCTATTCAACCTCAACCCAAGCACGTCATGAACCAGCGGCTTATACCTAAACTCATGCTGTATAGCCACAGACAGCTCAAAGTTCCTATCAAATATACATAAAATCGGCCTCTGGAATGAGCTTGTGAAATTCCCACCCTCTGTGAACAAATTGTTCTTCGCCAACAAATGATCACGCAACCTCTGATCAAGTAAGGATGCCACCATCTCCGCGGGCCCTCCAGGGGGGCACCTAATTATTGGCACAACAGCAAGCGTTGCCAACACACAAAACAACGCACTGACAATTTTTTCAATTATTTCCTCAATCTCTTTTTCCCCAGCTGAAGGATCATTTAATTGAACGTAGCAATTCTTATTAGCAAGCGAAAATAAATTATCCTCAAGGGTCACAAATTCCAAATACTGATCATGGACCTTGGAAATTCTCTGAATGGAATCCGAATTAACAGATCCTGAAGCAAAAAGCATATAAAAATGAATTAATATTGATTTCTATCAAACATTTAATTATCTTTTGGCAACTTAATATTTGGCTCTTAAAAGCTGAATCTGATCACGAGTCCCTTAGAACCAAGAACTAAACTAATATCCCTAAAATGAACTCTTGAAACTCGAATTTATACATAGTCTGGCTCCCCCTGGAATTTCTGAAAAAATGTGTTGTACCATATATAATTGGGTATTAGGCATACGTCTCGGGGTTATAATGTGAGTTATATGTTAAACCCCCTATAAATCAATTGCATCACCATTTTAAATTATAAAATACCAATTGAATATGGCCCTGCATCATGGATCTAAAGATAAACATCACCAATCAATCATACTAGAAGCTTGGAATAAGATCAAAGCCACAAAATAATATAACTTTTTGGTTTAAATTCTAGTTCCATGTCCTAATGAAATCCAAATTGATACAATTCAAATCAATTACCAGATGCGAGGTCCTCGAGGAGAGGCCTGGGAATGGAGGAGGAGAAATTGAGGTGAAACGAGTCATAGAGCGCCTTGGACGTATCCGAGACGATACGCTGTATGTTGAGCTGGGTAGGCTGAACGAAGTATACAGCGGGAACATCGTGGACTGGCTTGCGATCCTTGTCGACAAGAAAGTAGAGCGTGACACCATGCTTCCGCAGATCCTTGACGTGGATAAGCGGCGACAGTATATCCTGGCAGAATCTATCGTAGATAAGGATCTTATACACCTCCTCGTTCGCCGTTCCCACTCCGGCACCAACCGGGCTGATCACCGTTTGGTTCAGATTGAGCATCCGGATTATGCACTCTGCACATCCAGCAACAAGATAAAGCTAAACCCAGGAATAAAACTACCCAAAAACTGTGCGTCTACAGGAAATCAGAATTGCATTACCGAGATCTGTGAAGGAATATAAAAGAATTTACCCGTTTGCTTGTGCCGGAGATTGAGTGCCATTGTCGAGCACGGTTTATCTTTGAATCCTCCTCGAAATGATGGATTAATCTATGCGTGTCCGTGGAGATTTGGTGGAGTTGCAGAGAGACCTAAGATGGGGAGTTATTGAAATTGAATTTAAAAGCACTTATTAACTTGTACCTGGTGCATGTAAAATTGTACATGGGGTACTTAATGGTGGAAATGTTAAATGGAAAACGGCGCCGTTTCAGCTATTTTTGTAGAATTAGATTGGGCTGAACAGGAGAGAAGCGGACCTACTCCCCAGCTTATTGGAACCTCCTCCCTCTCTCCCTCCCCCTCTCTCTCTGACGAATGGCGAGTGGGTACACATTTCTTAAGAACAGGTATTGGATACTGAGACACGGTAAAAGCATTCCAAATGAGAAAGGTCTCATCGTTTCATCTATGGTACTACTTCATTCTTTCAAATTATTTGTACTGCCTAATTTAACCTTTGCCATTCTTTAGGATCTAATATTTACGATCTGAGTTTATGTCGTGTCTTAACAGGAAAATGGAACGCTTAAACAATATGAATTAGCTTCTGAAGGAGTTCATCAGGCGCGCTTGGCTGGAGAACTGTTCCTTAAGGCAGGTTTCATTTTCCATTTTTCTTTTTTCCTCAAAGCTTCCCGTTTTATATTTTAATTTTCTTTTTTCTCTAAAGTGTTAGTTTTGAAGTATTTCGCAATTTGGGTATAAATAAAGCGAAATTTGTGCAATATAGAGTCTGCATTGGGGCTCAGAGGATTTACAGATCAATTTAGTTCCTCGATGATTCTTATAGGCCTGGTGACAAATCTCTAGTCTCCTCGCATTGATTAATTTTTCTTTTTCTTAAAAAAGTGAATATTTTGGATGGTTTTGAGATTGAATTATTAAATTGCGTTTAGGAAATCAGTGATCTTTAATAACTAAAGATAATTTTGAGTACCAAACCTGGGTTGTACCAAAATGTCAACTAAAACGCGCAGCATTACATTTGAATAACATATTGGAGGTGGTTACATTTATCATTTGCACTCTCACTCTTTCTTGAAGACACGTCGCTGTTAGGGATGCTTGGCATTTCATTCTACTAGTGGGTTACTTTTCTCTGTATGGGCTCAAACCACTTCTTCCTACACAGACAAAAATGCATCCACATTCCATGTTTGTCTATCAAACTGAGGTGATAATCCAGATTATAAAAATTATATATGCTCAATAAAATGGCTTTGAGGCTGTCTTTCTGGTTGATGACTTGAAGAGATTCTGGTTTCCTCTTAAGTTTAGTGATGAGGCAAGAGGGATTTCACTGAATAAAAGCCCAATTTTTATTGGTCGTGGACTGTGTCATATCTTTGTTTTTAGGAAAAAGGTGGTCCTGGATGGTGAATCCATTTTGTATGTATATGGCTCAATCACTTATCAAAAAATGTATACGGCTCAATCAGGATGTGTAAGTCAAGGGAAGATCTAATCATGGATGAGGCACTAAAGAGGGTGGAATTGCCGTGCATAACCTTCAATTTTTTCATGTTTGTAAAACCTACAAATTCTTCAAGCCTTTTCAACTTTTATACCTGTTATTGAGAGAGAGAGAGAGAGAGA